CCGGACACCAAGCAGGACTCGAAGCAGGAAACGAAGCAGGAGTCGACACAAGACCGCAAACCGGACACCAAGCAGGAGTCAAAACTGGACACTGAGCAGGAGTCGAAGCAAAACGCCGAGCAGGAGTCGAAGCAGAACGTCGAGCAGGAGTCAAAGCAGGAGTCGAAGCAGAACGTCGAGCAGGAGTCCAAGCCGAACGTCGAGCAGGAGTCCAAGCCGAACGTCGAGCAGGAGTCCAAGCCGAACGTCGAGCAGGAGTCCAAGCCGAACGTCGAGCAGGAGTCCAAGCCGAACATCAAAAAAGATCCTGAGCAGGAGTCAAAGCATGATATCAAACAAGAGACGACGCTGGACACCCTGCAGGAGTCGAAGCAGGAATCAAGGCACAATGACATGCAGGTGTCAAATGACATCAAGCAGAACACGGTTGAAGAGTCAACTCCAGAATCTAAGCTGGAGTCGCAGCATGATGTTAAACAGGAGACACAGCCACAGGAGACTTGCTTGCAAGAAAATAAACAACAGGACTTATTTCAGAGAAACGTAAACAACTCCAGTACTTTACCGGGTGATGTGGATCAATCGACAGCTTCCAGGAAGCGGGGTGTATCCTGTTTAGAAAACTACATCAGTCAAGAGAAGTACGAGAACTCTGACCCAGTGAAAGAACCGCAGGGTGCCTCTCCTCAAACCAAAAGGACCAAGTGGTGCTCCCGCTCTGGAGAATCTCAGGGACAGGAGGAGGACCATGGGTTTTTGAAACCTGAAAGTCCGGTCTCTGTCCCAGAGCCTTGTAAGGACATCATTTGTGAAAGAATGCCCAGCCACAACTCTTCTAACACCGCACCCGCTTCACCTATTCTTTGCAAGCTGGAAAGTGATGCAGTCGGACAGAAGGTGGAGGAGCATAGTCATGTGGAGTGTGATGAAGTGTTTTCACCCCCTAATTCTCACAAGGCCTCTAATGGGTTTGGAGAAACGGACGTAGACAGATCTAGCACACTTACTGAACAGACTAGTGTTAACCCCACTTCTGTCACTGTTCCCTCGTCGCTGCTGAACGGCAGTCGGATGGGGGTTCCCTCATCCCCCGACCCCTCGGTGCCTTTTACAAACTCTGTCCCTGGGCAAAGGGAGATCTCTGGCTCAGGGGAACTGTCAGCCTCGTTGGCACCGACGTTTGACGGTGCTTCAGAGGACCCTGTTCCTGACTTGATCGTTGCCAAAGAGCAGGAGGTGGAGGAGGTGGAGGTCGATGTAGTAGGTGACCCTTTGTGTCTAGCTCACGAGGAGCAGGTGGTAGTAAGTGAAAGCGACACAAACGGCCGACCACCGTCACCAGCGCAGGACGCTGCCGCCTCCACCTCCTCCTCTACTACGAACACAAACTGTAGTTCAATCAACAACAGCAACTCAGGAGAAACTACACCCCTACTCACAACACCCACCTCCCCCACAGAACCAGGGTGCAGCCCTTCCATACCCAGCATGTCCCCATCTTTCACAGAGCTCTATGAACACAGATATACCCTGAGGACTTCACCTAGGAGAGTTGTGTCTGGTGGCAAAGCTTCTCCCTCCAAACCCAGCTCTCCTCTGACAGATAATGGACCTTTAATGGAGGAGGGGGAGGTGGTGGTGGGCTGCCCCATGGTGGAGGAACTCGTTTGCTCTGACTCACTTGGTCCTTCTAGCGAGCAGTCGGATTCTGTGGATCCTGAAAACGAGGCAGTTGATAAAGACGGTGGATTTATAGACAAAAAGACCAGCGAGGAGCCGAGAGGAAGCCAGGCTGCAGACGACGACGACGAGGAGGAGGAGGAGGAAGAGGAGGAGGAACCAGATGTGTATTATTTTGAGTCGGACCACCTGGCTCTTAAACACAATAAAGAGTATGTGGGAGCTCTCAAGGGAGTCGCACATGTTGGTCGCTGTGGTTGTGATGGTTTGTGCTTCTGAATGAACCAGGCTCGAGTTCCTCTGTTCTCTGAAGGTTCTGATGTTTTGAACATGGCGCGTTCTCAAGTGCTTTTGTAGTCCAAATTATTAGTCCGCCATAAAGTCTCAGAATGTTTGACTTGTTTGATGTGTTCAAAAACCGATGTGCAGAAGCTCAAATTAGCTTTGACTCGAGACACACGAAGATGTTTTCGTGACTGAAAACATATTGTTGAGCTTCAAACTAGAAACCGCGTCTCGTTTTATTTGCTTTAGATGTTTATGTTTTACCATCGATCTGTTTTGAGCTACTTGGCAGTCGTCGGTCTCACAAAGCCTGAGGAAAATTATGTTTAATTGATTGCGGGTGATGGCTTGTGTAGTCTTTCTTTTTTAAGAATTATAGAGATCAGATTTGGAAAAAGCCGGTTTTGTTGTTGGTTGCTGTTGGACAGGTCCCACGCTGTGATCAGTCAGGCGCTGATAACTGTGGCAGGTCAGGTGATTCATCTTCGCAGGAAGTGGGTGTGAAGGGCTTTTTCAAGGCTAAGAGAAATATTCAGCTGCAGTACCTTTTTTGTCTTTTAGACCAGTTTTGGTTTATTGGAAAAGTGACTTCAGATTAGGATTTCACTGCTCCCGTGACGTTAGGTAATTTGATCAAGTTTCAATGTCGAGCCAATATTTGGTTGAGCTGAATAAAGAGATCAGTGCAGCCTGGAGTCATTTTTAGAGACTATAGGGCATTTTATAGTTCCCGATTAAACCATCCTTTATTTAAATATAGGATTTCTCTCATTTGTCACTTAGTCTTTTAAAAAAATACATGATCAAATTATTAGTCTGTTTTTTTTTTTTTTTAATCAGGCATCGAGTTGGCCACAACTATGTCTAGGTTGAACTTTTCAGTATCACCAGCTTTACCGCGATACAATATTAGATTGATTTGTTTGTATGACGATACAATATTTCTCGATATCACAAAGTCTGTCACGATACGATTTCGATTCTATTCGATTCACAAGTCTGCGATCGATATATTGCGATATCAAATGCCCATCTCATTTACATATAAATAAATTTACAATAACAATTCAAATATGATTGAACCATTTTATTTCTGTTATTACAGGCACCAGGCATTTAAATAAAAATACACTTTTTTCTTAATTAATGAAAAAATAAAAATAAATGGCCTGTTCAGTTTAGTCTCACATTTCTCATGTTAAGTGCATTTTTTAAACCGGTTAACTTAAAAGTTCCCTGATTACCTTTGAGTTATAAAGAAACAAAAATAGATGCTGAGCGTACATAACATGGCTATCAATGCCGTGTTTCTTCTTCAGGTGAACGGACAAATTACTTGTTTCCCGTGTATTTTAACTCAAACTGGCACCTGTTGTTGCATATGACGTGAGTTTTGTCTGTTGAGCCGCCGTCCTGTCGATTTAAATCCAGCAGGAGAGTGAATTTCCGCGCACGGAAATGGTGACGCAGATGTGCCTTGGGAATTTCAAAATAAAAGTGTATTTTAAAGCTGACCATATGAATCGATGTTTTAGTTTTGCCACAATATAATTGAATTATTTAATCGATATATCGATTTAAATCAATGTTTTGTTACACCCCTAGTAAACGGCACTCGCTATGTTTACATGCGCAAAATTCTTTGACCGGATTGAAATGTATTCAGACAAAATAATCCAAATGTATCGTTTACATGGGCACAATCCGTTCACGGTGAGCGTTGACATGCAGTGGGCTTTTACTCAGAATAGAAGTACTGACGTGTGCAGAGTGGGAAAGTTTGGTGTTTTAGAACTGTTTTGTAAACGGGCAGAAATTTGTGAGGTTGACCCAGGTCGCACATGCGCAGTCAGATCAGTTTTCCACAATCGGAATAAGATGATCAGATCAAGTGTTTACACGCACACCGCTCGGATTATGAATCGGCATAAACCACCCCTCTCATTCGGATTACAGATTCATTTAGATCGAGCTGAATCAACAAAAAATAATCCGAATGGCCGTTTATTCCTATTATGTCCATGTCAACATAGCGTCGGGCCCAGTAGGTGGCAATAAAACACTAGACTTGTCCCTGGACGTTTAAAGGGAGCCCAGAGTGAAACGGAGCCAAGTCCTCCTTCACCCCGAGACAGATTTATGATCAGATCATGTGCTCGTTGAAGGAAGTTTGCACGTTTGTTGCTGTGTCATGCAGAAATTGCACATTTATTCAGAATTACTCTGCAGCACAGGAAATGTAATAAATTTGGCGCCCCACACCAAACTTTAGTTTAAACCTCCTTGACTCATCAGAACTTTTGCTTGTTAGTTTAAAACTCCTCTCTGAATAAATTGTGTCCTTTGCATTGATTTCCGTTCATGTTGTATTAGGAGAGATTGATCCTCTGTGCCCCTCAGCTACTGCGTTTGGTTGTAGCCAAGTAGCACGCTGTCTCATTCCTGTTGATTTCCCCCAGCTCTGCTCGCACTGTAAGGTGTCTGAGTCGGTACTCTGGAGATGTTGAGAGTCAGACTAGTGGAGCTGGAGGCTCCTCGGGTGCTGCACACCCGTGCAAAGATATTTATTTGCATTGAGATGTGCACAGTTACAGACGAGACTGAGGTTGCAAAGTGTTTTATGTACCTGCTGTCCTTTTATAGGCTGCTTCAGGGAAGTCTTGATGAGGCACTTAAGAGGTGATAACCTGTGTATTTTTATTCCTTGCAAGGCAGAAAGTGCTGCTTTGAACAACTTTTTAGGTTCTCAGCACCATTGTTGAATTATACATGAGCTGCGGTCTAAAGGTTTTTTTGCTCTGCTACATTGTGTCAGGTTAAATAACAGTCAGTCATGGCACTGTCTTCTCTTGTCCAACATTACTTCCCTCTGTGCCAGTTATCAGAGACTGCTGCAGACCATAGTGGTACTCGAGGCTCAGCGCACGCAGGCCATCTTTGATTTGGAGACGTTGGCACGTCGTCAGAGAGGGGCGCTGGCCGATCCCATCAGCTTTGTAGATCAGCTGCAGAAACAGGTAATAACTACTGTTAGGTACCAGGAAAGTGTGGCTCACTGTGTGTTGAACTGAAGTTGACGCTTCATTTTCAGTTAATTGGTTTCAACCCTTTCATTCCCGTGACCCTTAGGTGAATTTGGGCATGCCGTGTCCTCAGCATGTCGTTCAACTCCCTGACATTGCTTGGGAGCAGTACACCTCAGGCCTCGGGGACTTCGAGAGAGAGTTCTGCGACAAGAAACGAAAAACCCGGCAGCTGAATTTGATCTTTGATAAAGGCAAGCATGAAATTAGGGTTGATTTATGTGATTGTGATCAGTTTTGTTTTAATTAAAGGCACTTTTTGCAAGCTATAAAAGCAAACGTCAAAGGTTATACTCAAACGGTGCCATTTTAAGCGTGTACTCGAGTTGTTTTTCAGACATATTGATATACATTTCTGAAATGCGGGTCCACACTCAAAGCACCGCTCTCATTCTCCTTCCCACTACAGGTTTGCCTCTTAGACCAAAAAGTCCCGTTGAACCCAAGAAGGAAGGCGAATGCTCCAGCTCGTACTCCTCTCTTCCCATGAGCGATGCCCCAGAGAACGGCAGGCAAACACAGGTACGTTTCAGCAGCTGCTTTTCTCTACAACATTCTATAGCCTCAGCTGTATATTCATCCAGATTATCATTAATGCAGAAGCGGTTTCTATTTAGCTGGTAATTTACTTTGTCATCCCAAATATCACCAGGTTATTCCCATTGTACGCCTATTTTAAAACTCATCTCATTTACCGTATTTTTTGCTGTATAAGTCACAGTTTTGTCCCTGTGATGGACTTGCGACCCGTCCAGGGTGTACCCCGCCCCTCGCACAGTGATTGCTGGACATGGGCACCGGCGACCCCCGTGACCCAAAATGGAAGAAGCGGGTAAAAGATAATGGATGGATGTCACAGTTTTTTGCATAAATTAGCATGCATGCGACTTATACAGCAAAGCAATGTATTTTTATTTTATTTTTCATATTTATAACCAATTTTTTGGCTGAGATCTGTCATTCATTCTGACATGGAAAATATTGAACACTACCATTTTCAGCCACTAGAGGGCAGTCAACTATTATGGCAAGCCAAGTATCTCATTAATAGGTAAAAGTGGCTATTAATAAGACATTTGGACAAAGCCACCTTCGTCTTGCTTAGGCCTGTCACGATAACATATTTTGCTGGGCTTTTAATTGTCTCATAAATTATTGCGATGAACGATAATATTTGAAATTTGACAATAATTGGCAATTATTGTCAAATTTAAGAAGAAATGTTGTTTAATTTGTTTTGATTGTAGTGCCTTTTTTGAACACTGGATGGCAGTATAAGACAGTTTGAACCGAAGGATGGATAGTGAGGGAGCGAGCAGCGTGTCTATTAAGAAAAAGGGAGGGTGGCCCCTTGACGTGACATGGGCCGTCTCTCCTTCCTTGTTTTCGGTTCTCAAAATGACGGATGCTCGGTGTGGTTTGAGCTCTTTAACGTAGCATTTGTCACACAAAGCTTTTAATTAAAAAAATCAGTAAACAAGTTCTCAGCTTCTTTTTTCAGAGAAAAACAACTTTTTAGACAAAGGCACGGGTTTCGACCATGAATTTTGGAGCTTTGACAAGACGGAGGTTTTTCCCGAGGTCGGCCTGTTAGCTTAGCTCGTAGCTTAGCTGCTTTTAACGATCCAAAAACGCCATTTTGGACGATTTTGAAACGGATTTTAAAGAGAAAAGAGAAAGGGAGGGGTCAGAGAAAGACATGAAGAAATGATAAATTTGATAAATGAAAATGATCAACCTCGTTTTAATTTATCATGCGATTAATTGATTTATTGTTTATCGCGACAGGTCTAGTATCGCTCCGGAACTCCTGGAGCAAACGTCAAAAATCAGCTGCATTTTGCTGCGCCGCCCAGATGAAATGCAGCTGATTTGACCATTAAAGTGCATTTATTAAAGACAAGTTGGACTGAGACACACCTTTACTATATTTCAAGCAAACATTCATTCATTCAACCTTTTATTTAGACAGGTAAATCCCATTGAGCCTCGAGGACTCCTTTACAAGAGAGACCTGATTTCAACAAAGAAAGATGAAAAGAACGGACAGCAATAGACCGTTATAGAAAGGCATACAGATTTTTTTTTTTTTTTACAAATAAGATGGCTAAAAAAGTAACAAAACAGCTAGATTATAAGGTGAATGTAGAAAACTAAAAACAGGAACATGTCTGCATTGGTCCCTGAGTCCAAGAGATTCTTAAAGCCACTTAGAGAGGTCAAGGTCGAGCTTCAGATCTTTTTGTAAGATATTCCAGGAAACAGGAGCGGAGTAGGAGAAGGCCCTTTTGTCTAGTTCAGTCCTCATTGAGGGAACACTGCAGGTAATAATGTCCTGAGAGCGCACGCTGTAGCTGCACTCACGCAGAGACATGTAGGAGGAGATGTATGAAGGCAGCAGACCAAGAAGTGAACAAATTATTGTTTTTAGGTGCTTATCTTAAGTTTCGAAGAAATGCACAGCGAGTTGTCTCTCTGCATGCTCCCACTTTTGCGAATCGGCTTTTGAGATGCAGCTGATTTGACCATTAAAGTGCGTTTATTAAGGAAAAGTTAAACTGGGACACCTTTGCTATAATTTTGAGCAAATAAATAATTGTTTAGTGTTAATCTTGTTTAATTCTTGTTAGGCCTCCCTTGCATGCTCCCGCTGCCACCATTAGGCAGCCAATGGCGTTTTGGCAGAACACCGGCCCACGTTTGCGGGTCGTCAAAGGTGACTCGTAACAAAGGTGACGCGTAACAAAGGTGACGCGTA